TATATGTCAAATATACAATATGTATGAAAAAAAGTAGTCTCCAAAACATATATCTGAAAAATGTTAATTATGTTTTTGAAAAATGTCACAATGAGTATAAAAAATGTTCCTACAATATATATGAAAGAAAAGTAGACCTCGAAACATACTTTTTAAAAACTATCATGTATTTTAAAATTAATGAAGATGTATAAAAATATTTCCTTGCATATATGAAAATTTTACAATGTGTAAGAAAAGACGTAAAAATCAAGGCTAGTCGAAAAGAAACAAAGCATACCAAAGAGGAAAAAAGAAAAAAGAAATAGAAAAAAAATAAGAAACCAATCGAAAGCAGTGCAACATAGTGAAAAATGAAACCTAAAGAAAACCAAGAAAGAAGCAAATACTACCGAAACGAGAAAGAGGATGAAAAAACAAAAAAAAAACAAAGAAACCAATGCATTATAGTGAAATAATGTGAAAACCAAGAAACTCAATAAAATGAAACGGAAACAAAAGAAAACCAAAAAAGGCAACGCAAAAAAGAAAAACAGGAATAAAAAAGAACCCGAAAAATATAAAGCAAAACAGTGAATGCAGTGAAAGAATGGTTCTATAGTATTGGGCTGGCCCTGTCCTTTAGGCGAGAGAAGCAGATATCTCACAGCAAGCGAGATGGCAGATTCTATTTGGCACGTTAGTCGCTGCTGAACGAGCGCGCGCGCACCCTCCACTGGACACTGCACGTGGGAGTGAGGGTGTGCGCGCTGTATCCTTTTCCCAGCGCTCAGCGCGCATAATAGGAGCTCCCAAGCGAGATATAACTCTTGCGCTCGGCCGGGCACCGAGCATCATAAATGGCGTATCCTATTTGGCGCGCCAGTAGTTGCTTAGCGACCGCGCGCGCACCCCTGATGCACACTGCACGTGGGATTGAAGGGGTGCGCGCTGCACCCTTTTCCCAGCACTCAGCACGCGGAAAAGGACCTCCCAAGCGAGATATAGCTCTAGCACTCGGGCCGGGCCCCATCCCATAACAATCAGCCGGGCACCGAACACAGCCCACTCACACTTAAAAAAGAAAGAAGGAAAAAAAAGTTGCGTCCGCCAAGGCTCCAGCTCAATAATCGCTCAAGCTAAGTCAGAGCTCTCTACATACAGCTTCAGCACAAAAGTCCCGGCGAGGTAACTCTGACAGTTCATCCCAGCCTGAAGTGTGAACATCAACGACTCGCAGGGAAGACTGCAGCGGCCTCCCCTCTGAGCTCTGACTAAACATAAATATCATGCCGGCGGCGTAAACCCGCGGCAAGTTTCAGTCTTGACCCTCGCGCCATTGTTTTCCCAACGCAAAAGGTCAACTGTTGAAGCTCCTGGACGCCATCCATCATCCATGGCCACACGCAGCGCTACGTACAGCATGAAATGGACCGGCGACGAAATTCCGGCGGCAGCTCCATGTCTCCGCTGTTCAGGTCATAATGTTAACCCCAGGTTTTCCACCCGTATGACGCGCAGGAGTCAATGTCGATCCCTGTCACCCGCGTACTTTGGCTAATCCGGCGACTGAGCACGGATGCCAAATAGAGATGGACTGCCGCTTTCTCGAGCCCTGTTCTATAACTGACGACAGGACCGCAGCATATGGTGGTAGGAGTACTAAAGTTCATCCATTTTATGAGATCATCGAGTCGGAAATGAATCGCTATCGACGGCATTTTTTAGCTATATATATAGGTTGGGTAAATACGTCTGTTAATAGTAATTACTTATGCAGGAAACATTCGTTGTGCTAGCGCCGTGGATTCATATGGAAGACGGGTTTATTTTATTTCTGAAGGGGGTATTATTTTGGAAAAACAATGAGAAGAAAAGGTTCCCTTTGTTAAGCGTCTTTCAACATTGTCATCAATTGAGCATGACAACGTCAGACCAGCTATGGCGACGTCGTTCGCTATACCGATCTGACTTTGCATCTTATATACAAGTCATTACGTCCCTTTTAACTGAATCCAAATCAGTAACCCAGCCAATATGCACTGACAAGTCTCGAAATAGGAAACACCGCCACTAGGCCGAGAGCGACACCATGTGATGTTTTAATCTTAATCGACTAATTAGCTCAGCCTTGAATATTCTTACAGCTCGTTTGGTACCCATCATTTGGGTCGGATTTGGTGGATTTCATTTGCGAATTCCGGAATATACTTGTTTGGCTGCCACAGAATTGAGGGTGGATTTCATTCTAAGATTCCAGAGGATGTAAACTTGGCCTAGGCCCAAATCCCAGCCCCTCGCCCGTCATTCTCCCGGATTCCACTCGCTCGCTTCCCCCACCCTACCCCGACGCCTTCGTCTCTCGCCTCCTTCCCCCACCCTACCCCGACGCCCGCCGCCGCCGCCGCCGCCATGAACCCCACCTTCTCGGCCGCCGGTGATGCACCCCCCCGCCGGTGAATGGCTTCTCCCCGAGTTCTCTTCCCCCGTCCCCTCTACACGCGAAGCTTTCTGTTCGATGGTGTGCTGCCTCCGGTGACCACAGCGCCGTCGTCGAGCTCTCAAATCCTGGTAGGTTCTCCCTCCACCTCTCTTCTCCCCCTCCCTCTCTCTGGTGGATCTTTTCTGCTTGAACCCTAACCCTAACCTGAACCCACCTCCATCCAGCCACCCGATCCGGACAGAAGATCGACTTCTTGACGATTCCTCCGCCAGCCCACGGTCGGTCAGCTCCACACCCCGGAAGATCGACCTTTTTGTGGTACGTGGTCAGCGTGTCTGCGTCCCCTCTATGCAAACAGAATGGATCTCTGAATTTAATGTGTTTTGCACACTGATTATTTTGTCTGAATTCAGTATAGAACAAAGTCAGTGTGGTTGGACAGTGATTTTTTTGTCTGGATTTAGTATAGAACAATTCAGTATGGGCCGCAAGCAGACATGAACCCCTGATTTCAATATGTTTGCACACTGATTTTTTGTCTGAATTCAGTATAGAACAATTTCAGTGTGCTTGCATAATGATTTTTTGTCTGAATCAGACTGGGATTTTTCCAGACTGAGCTGATTTTTATATTCGGACTTGTTATTGAAGCTAGATACTTGAGCATAATGTTTTGAAATACAAGTTTAGGATAGTTTTGATTCACTCCGTTTTAGGAGAGAGTGTTAATAACATGTTCAATAAGACTGTGTCAATTGTATCGTATGGCGATTGAAGCTTCTTTTTATGTGAAACTCTAATGCTTGATGGTTTTGTTTGTTATGATCTATTTTTCCAAAAGTATGGGGGCGCAGGTCTGTTCATCCACCTGACAAAAGTGAAACAGAAAGTAGCATAAACCCTGTTTGGGTTTTGCCCATCTTTTTCCTCCATCTAAGCTTTCTTGACAAGCAACTGCATCTGTTTTTTGTGTATCACTAGTAATAAGCATGAGTTTTTTGTGTATCACTAGTAATCGAGCTTGAGTTCTTTCTCAATTGTTATTTTCTTCATTTTAATATAGATGTCAGACTTGTACATTAACACATTGCATGGCGATGAGAGGAGAAAGAAAAGGAAGAGGGCAGCTGCTGGATTTTTTGTGTCGGTTGTCGCGATAGTTCAACACACGTATTGTTAGAGGAAGATTAGAGAGCTTGATGATTTCAGTGAGGATGAGGCGGAGATTAGGATTAGAAAGCAGATGCTTAGATCAATTTATCAGGGTTCTAACAAGCACTGTTTTGATAGTTTGCGCCTAACTAAACGGTCCTTTGTGGACCTGTGCGCTATTTTGCGTGAAAGATGTGGTTTGGGGGACACATTTTATGTGTCGGTTGAAGAATCAGTCACAATGTTTCTGCTAGTGCTAAGCCATGGGATGAAATACCGGTTAATTGAAAGCACGTATAGATGGGCACTCGAGACCATCAGTAGGCATTTCAATGAGATCTTAAGAGCTGTCCTTTCCTTGTCTCATGAGTTTATAAAGCTACCAACCCCTTCAGCTGAGCAGCCCGAGGATAGTAGATGGAAATGGTTTCCAGATGGGCTAGGAGCTTTAGATGGCACACATGTTGATGTCCGTGTTTCCGCTCTCAAGCAAGGCAGATACAGGAATAGAAAGCAAGATGTGACCACTAATGTGCTTGGTGTTTGTGACCGGAATATGGAGTTTTTGTATGTCTTAGCTGGATGGGAAGGTTCTGCATCTGATTCACGAGTGTTGCGAGATGCAATGTCACGACAAGACGCTTTTAGAGTTCCACATGGTAATTCTCTGTCTTGGTACGGTAGAACAACTAAGTTATGATATTTCAATGTAAATATAATATCTAATACTTGTTATTTTTGCAAACATTAGGAAAATACTACCTTGTAGATGCTGGGTACACTAATGGTCCGGGCTTCTTTGCTCCATACCGGTCAGTCCGGTACCATTTGAAAGAATGGGCGGCTAATGGAAATAACCCACAAACTCCAAGAGAGTTATATAATCTGCGACATGCATCAGCTAGGAATGTGATAGAGAGAACTTTTGGTCTACTAAAAATGAGATGGGCTATTTTGGGGACTAGTTCATTTTTTCGCATACGGAATCAGGTATCACATAGTATTTTGCAAAACCAAGCCTCCGTTTATTTTTATTTTTTTATTAACACGCCAATAATACCATCTCGCAGATCCGTGTCATTAATGCTTGCTGCATATTGCATAACTTTCTAAGAGATAGGCAGAGAGAGATGGATGATATAATGCTAATTGACGTGGATAATCAGTTAAATGCTGCTGCCATCGAACATCCTGAAGAACCAAACATGATTAGACATGTTGAATCAACAACTGAGTGGAACAACAAGCGAGATACCTTAGCTAATCAAATGTGGGCAGATTACCAAAGGAGACGCGGGGGAGCCAATCATTGAATTCATTCATTTGTATGTTCATATATTTCATATGCCTATTTTTGAAACCCCCCCTCTCTCTCTCTCTGGATTCTACGTTTGTCTCATACATATATTGTTGCTTGCAGGAAGATATGGATGTGGAGAAGAAAGGAGGTAGAAACTACCTTACCTGGATGGATGAAATGGATGAAGCAATGCTGAATGTGTTCGTGGAGCATTACAATAGAGGGGATCGTGCTCAAAATGGGTCGAAGCCACATGTCTACACTGCAGTTGTCAAGAATGTTCGAGCCAAGTGCAATGTGGATATCACAAAGGATAATGTCATATCAAGGTGCAAGACTATTGATAGACACTATGTCAATGTCAGCAAGATGTTGTCAACGAGTGGTTTTGGGTGGAATTGGATCCATAACAAGCTTATGGTTGATAGTGAGGACGTGTGGAGAAACTATGTCAAGGTAAGCACTACATCTTGAGCATCTATGTATTCATGGCATGGCCACAAGATTCATTTTCATCATTCATGTGGTCAAGTAGTTTATTCGAAAACATGCACTTATACACCTTCTCCACCTTCTCCATCATGATGTGGAATTCAGCCAAGTTTATTTGAAAACATGCACTTATACTTGTTGGAAATATGCCCTAGAGGCAATAATAAATTGATTATTATTATATTTCCTTGTTCATGATAATCGTTTATTATCCATGCTAGAATTGTATTGATAGAAAACTCAAATACATGTGTGGATACATAGACAACACCATGTCCCTAGTGAGCCTCTAGTTGACTAGCTCGTTGATCAATAGATGGTTACGGTTTCCTGACCATGGACATTGGATGTCGTTGATAACGGGATCACATCATTGGGAGAATGATGTGATGGACAAGACCCAATCCTAAGCCTAGCACAAAGATCATGTAGTTCGTATGCTAAAGCTTTTCTAATGTCAAGTATCATTTCCTTAGACCATGAGATTGTGCAACTCCCGGATACCGTAGGAGTGCTTTGGGTGTACCAAACGTCACAACGTAACTGGGTGGCTATAAAGGTACACTACGGGTATCTCCGAAAGTGTCTGTTGGGTTGGCACGAATCGAGACTGGGATTTGTCACTCCGTGTGACGGAGAGGTATCTCTGGGCCCACTCGGTAGGACATCATCATAATGTGCACAATGTGATCAAGGAGTTGATCACGGGATGATGTGTTACAGAACGAGTAAAGAGACTTGCCGGTAACGAGATTGAACAAGGTATCAGGATACCGACGATCGAATCTCGGGCAAGTATCGTACCGCTAGACAAAGGGAATTGTATACGGGATTGATTAAGTCCTTGACATCGTGGTTCATCCGATGATATCATCGTGGAACATGTGGGAACCAACATGGGTATCTAGATCCCGCTGTTGGTTATTGACCGGAGAACGTCTCGGTCATGTCTGCATGGTTCCCGAACCCGTAGGGTCTACACACTTAAGGTTCGGTGACGCTAGGGTTGTAGGGATATGTATATGCAGTAACCCGAATGTTGTTCGGAGTCCCGGATGAGATTCCGGACGTCACGAGGAGTCCCAGAATGGTCCGGAGGTAAAGAATTATATATAGGAAGTGCTATTTCGGCCATCGGGACAAGTTTCGGGGTCACCGGTATTGTACCGAGACCACCGGAAGGGTCCCGGGGGTCCACCGGGTGGGGCCACCTATCTCGGAGGGCCCCATGGGCTGAAGTGGGAAGGGATCCAACCCAAAGTGGGCTGGGGCGCCACTTCCCCCTAGGGCCCATGCGCCTAGGGTGGGGGAAACCCTAAAGGAAGAGTCCTAGGAGGGGAAGGCACCTCCTAGGTGCCTTGGGGAGGAGGGATTCCTCCCCTTGGCCGCACCCCCCTAGGAGATTAGATCTCCTAGGGCCGGCGCCCCCCCCCTTGGCCCTCCTATATATAGTGGGGAGATGGAGGACTTCTAATGCTTAGCCTTTGGTGCCTCCCTCTCCCTCTCCGACACATCCTCCTCCTCCATAGTGCTTAGAGAAGCCCTGCCGGAGTACTGCAGCTCCACCACCACCACGCCGTCGTGCTGCTGTTGGGGCCATCTTCCTCAATCTCTCCTTCCCCCTTGCTGGATCAAGAAGGAGGAGACGTCGCTGCTCCGTACGTGTGTTGAACGCGGAGGTGCCGTCCGTTCGGCGCTAGGATCATCAGTGATTTGGATCACGACGAGTACGACTCCATCAACCCCGTTCTCTTGAACGCTTCCGCATAGCGATCTACAAGGGTATGTAGATGCACTCTCCTTCCCCTCGTTGCTGGTTTCTCCATAGATAGATCTTGGTGACACGTATACAATTTTGAATTTCTGCTACGTTCCCCAACAATACTTGTTCATGCATAGCTTTCTAATCAGTAGTTTACTCATCATTTCCCCTATGTTTTGCTATTATATTAGTGATCAGCCTTCTCTTGAGAAACAATCACAACTTGCAGCAGTGCACTTGTTTTCCCCATTATTTATGTGATTTTGCACCATGACATGAGTTACATCTTAGCTGTAGTCTACGATTTTCTCTTTGGATGTGTGTTTGGTGTTTGGATGGATGTGTGTTCATTTTCCACCATGACATGAGACTATTTGTCTTCATGGGTTGCAGGCAAACAAAGATGCAGCATGCTACAGGCACAAGGTCATAAAGTTTTGGGACTCTATCAGCCTTGTCTTCTCGAGGGATCATGCCACCGGAACGGGAGCCAGAACTGTTGGTGAAAGTGCAGCAGAAATGGCTGCAGAGAATGTCAACAACATCAACACTGATTCTGCCGCAACATCTTCAACCCAAACCGGCGAGGAACAGAAGAGGAAAAGATATCGATCGGATGACTCAATTGCATCTATGCTTGGAGAGAAATTGGATAATTTTACCAGTGCCTACAAAGCTGATATCGCTCAAGTTGCTCCTCCTGAGAAACCCTCCTCTCCTGAAGAAATACTTGACGCTCTCAATGCAATTGTGGGACTGGATGATGATGGCTTGCTAGCAGCTTATGATTTCCTCATAGCAGATGATCGCAAGTTCAAGGCTCTTATGGCGCTGCCTGAAAGGATGAAGAAGAAATGGATCCTCAAGCAAATCAACCAATGAAGGTATGTTTCTTGTTCTGTGATTAGTTACCAGCTAGCAAGCTCTACTGCATTTTGTCCTTAGTTGTTTGTTATAGTACAATATTATGGGTGTCCTGTATTTTGTCATGCCAATATGGAGCAGAGGAGGCAGCAGCTTGCTTGCTTTTCATCATATTTATGTACTTACCTATTTCCATGTTTGAGATTAGCATGATAGAAGGTTTTATGTTATCATCTTAATAAGGTTTTCCTGCCAGGTCTTCCCAAACATGGCTTGATAAAACAACGTTTTCCTGCCATGTTTGAGAACAACTTGTTCTGCCATGTCTCCTGAAACAAGGTTTTATGAACATATTTTGCATGCACATAAATATTCAGTGTGTTTGAAGGTCTCTTATGAACTAGTCTTTTTTTCTTCGGTCGAGAGGTGGCATTATTAGTCTAGAATACATCAACCAGATATATGCTTATTTAGTGGCTGTAGTCTTTTATCGACTTAGTTTCGGTCCTACTTAACATACTCGGTTGTTGATGGTTTTTTGCTATTACCTTTCGATTCATGATAATTGTGCAAATGAAGTGCAAGTTAACCTTTGAAAAATTTCTATATCAAGTTGAGTTTTCTTACCCTTCCTAGAGATTGTTGCAAGCTAAAGCTTATCGTGTGACACTTCGATTTGTCTTCTTGGCTATCGTCATCTTTCACTTTGAGCAATTTCTACCAACCATTGTGTTCAAGGATTGTTTATTGCCCTATGAGACCATATGTCACCATTTCTCATCATATTTTGCAGGAAATTTTGGGTGAAGTGTGATGTTGAACGAACAGAACGAAGAAATGAAGATCCTTGAGCAATGAAAATCTTTCTTGGATGGTGCTAATAATGCAAAGATTCAGTTTTTATGTAACCTTGACTAGATTATGATCATTTGATGTTGTTGTGAACCTTTGTCGTATTGCAAAGATTAACTTTTTACAAAGTCTCATGTTTAAGTTATATGTATTGGCATGGTTCAGTTTAATGCAAAACATTGCCATGTGTGAACAAACGAGCTGTCAATGTTGGTGTTGGTACAGATTTGTTCATACTATTTATTCCTAGCACAAAGGCTAGTGCGTTGGTGCTGGTATAGTTTCATGCTCATTTTGGTTCTGGTACAGATTTGACCTCAAAATCCTAGTGACAGCCAAACATGAAATTTGGATTTGGAATCTAGATTCAGCCAAATGAAATCTTGATAGAGATTTCATTTCATTTCATTTCAGCCAAATGAAATGAAATCAGGGGAGCCAAACGAGCTGTTACACGGATCCTGATGCAGAGTTCTGGCCAGACGAACTGTTTCTGAATCAGTTGATGGTATCTTTTGACAAACGACAGGAGGTTGGCATTACAGCTACTCCTCTTGGACAATTGACCGATTGTTTTCTCCTTGCTAGGCACTTTGAATGTGTTTCTTTAGGTATCTCAGATTCTCAGTATCTGTATACCCAGTGCATCTCTGGTACGTACTGCATTCTCAAGAATCTCGATCAATCATTTGTAGGTGGGTTTCAGCCCCAATTGGCTATTACTCTGGCAATTGCTCAGACTATTGCACCGCAAAGCCGTGCTGAGTTGGCATTAAACATAACCGCATTTGCCAATCGCAGGGTTACAGCTACAGCACACCATTGAAGTACTATTAACCACTCAGTAATCTGGAGCATCCAAGTTGCAGAAACTAATCAGAAATTTTCAAAAGCATAAATTGGAATAGCAGCTGGGTAGTAGAGTACTCTAGTAGCAAAAGCTTCAGACAAGCATGCATTCAACTGCTCGTCGTGTGCCGCTAAACGGAAACAGACGGTCCATGCCGGGATGCGTACAGATAGGATATATGATCCAGTTCAAGAAGATGTAATTGGGGTGGTTCGTCATCAAGCGGCACATATGTTTAAATATACCTCTCGCTTCACATGCACACTCATCCTCTGTAATATGAAAGCTCTAGCGAATGGATGAGGAGGCCAAAAGAGAAACTCGTCTCGTACAATATATATTCCCGGAGGATGCCATCGCCGGCGCTGCGCTCTATTCTAACGGAAACCTGCTTTAATAACCACTAAAGCAAAGTCAGCGATCTCCTCGAACGGACAGACGGTTCTTCGCGCGATCGATCATAAATAAAAGCACAACATGGTTCAGACAACGGAAAAAGAAAGAGAAGAAACCCTAGCGCGCCGGATCATGCGAACTGCCAACAAAAGTCGAATTTCGCAACCGGCGATGCGACGGGTGGCCTATCTTACTCTGAATCTACGCTGCAGGCATTAGTATTCTCGAAGAGCAAGATGACTTAGTCTATTCTCGCAGGCGAGGCGATGGGTTTAGTCTAGTCTCTGATAGCGTCAGATGCGAGTGTGATCGGTAGGTGCATAAACAAAGCCGCCATGTTGGTCGCTGACCTTGCCGATCGTTCGATCGATCCGACTGCGTCGGGTTTCCACGGGAGTTGCTTGTGCATTTGGGGATCCTTTCTTTACGCGCCCTCCCGTGGCTGCCACCCCGGCGGGGAGCTTACGGCGATCTAGGTGGTTGCTAGCTGCCGGTAACATGATTTTCGCCATAAACTAGTGGCTGCCGGTAACATGTACGTAAACAGTTGACAACCACGATTACTCTAAACTGATATTTCATCGCGGTGTCTTATCATCAAGCTGTGCTACATGATTGGTGTTCGGATGGTTTGCGGCCGGAACAAGACCAGTTTTAAACACGGCTCCGATCGAGGAAGATGATGATGAATCAGTTTAATAATATAAGACCGTTTTTGACACCAGTGTAGACAGCAGCAAGCACTTGTACGAAATCTGAAGTGTGTCTGTAGGGGAATAATAAGCAACAGAATAAATTTGATATATATGCATAATAACAAACAAGAAAAGGACATAGAGAAGCTCCTAGAAGCAGAATTTGTGCGGCTGCCGGTTTTGCACGTCCATTGCGTACTTGAACGGACCAGATGAATAGTTTATCCGCCAACGAGATTGCTCGACTGCGAATGCTTTGTCTTTTATACAGACAGACAAAACAAACAAACAAAAACGCAGCGAGACTGGATTCCAAAATAAATAAATGAAACAGAGAGTACTGTACAGTTGACCGGAGCTAATAAAAAGAACAGACTACGAACAGGGGTGTTTGTGGACAGGATTCGTTTCGCGTGACACATTTTGTTTCACACCAAAAGCCCTCTTCAATTGCGTCACATACATATTTGAATCTTCTGTGTTCAAATTGGGATATGGTCGCGAATCCAATCAAATGATTGATACCTGATGAGATTATTTCTCAATTGGGACATGCATCGTGCAGATGCATAGGCCGGGGATACATCCTCCTTAAAAAAAAGGGACGCTAACACGATTCAGTAAACATAGAAAAGTAGTATTACTGTGTTCTTTTTTTTTTGCGGGGAAGTATTACTGTGTTCTATCTTGTACTATAAGAAACTTTGTGTTGTTAGCCTCAGTAGCAATAAACTACTTCCTTCATATCGATTGTAATAACATCTTATATTATAGAACAAAGGGAATAGTAGCAAAGTAAAGATACAAATTGTGGAGCTTCAAGAATGACAAAGACACTAATAAAAGCCTCTCTCTTGGCGGGAACATCTCGTCCCGCTAAACGCCGCCCCACGAGCCTTCTACCCGAAAGTTCGTTCTCGGCAAACATCAACTTTTAGTTCCCATACCAGAAATAGAGCTTTAGATCTTAAAGCGTTTCTAACTGGTCCCCTATCCTGCATTAGAGGAGGCTAAATTCCATTTTCCTTCTTAACCGACACCTAATTGAACTCTTAAAACCTTTAGTGGAGGATAAAATTAGTATGTGGCCACCGTGACTTTTAAATATACTCGGCCGCCCTTCCATGGAGTAAAAAAATCCTGACACCCACTTCTCCTTCTCTTCCATTTCGTCGTCGCCCACACCCCCGCCCCCATCCACTTCGACGCCGCTCCGGCGCCGATAATTGCCAGACCTAGCCGCCGTCGCTCCCCGCCACCCACCCACAGCGTGGATCCATGCAGCCGCGAACAGTCCCGAGCTCGTGACTGCGCCAGCGTTGGTGCTTCCACCTTCCGTTGGTGGTTCCTGCTTCCCCGACCTCGCACCACCAAGGGAATACCTCGTTGTGCGGCTGCGCCGATGGTGGACGTGGGTCACGGAGATCACTGACAGCGAGATGCATGAGAGGATGTGGATCTTTTTTTTCACTCTGTGGTGCAGGCGGCGCATGAATACAACATTATGTCAGTGTGCCTCCACAGTGCCAACGCCCCGCGGAACTTCCTCGACGACCTACAGTAGTTGGTGCCCGTCGACCCTCGGGTGGTCACCGCATGGGATATGCGGGAAGACCAGGAGGCCGCGAGCGCCATGAGGCAGAGCAAGCCAGCGATATGTACATGGTGGAGCTCCGTTGCCTATACCCGGAGTGTGCTGATGCGGGGTGCCGGTTGTACGTGCATTACAAGGATGGGGCGACGGAGGCCATTAACCTTTGCTCTAGTGACTTTGACGAAGACGGCGGTGACAACGGAGAGGGACAGGGCGTTGGCGGCAGAGCGGGCCAGGGCGGTACCGGCGGAGCGGACGAGGAGCACATGACTGAATGGGACTATGAGAGGTTGATGAACGAGAGTATCAATAGTGAGAGCGAGTAGTTTTTTTAGTTTTTATGCAATCTAATTTAAATTTTATTTAAGTTATGTAAAGCAGTTTATGCAACTGGTTGAATCGAGTTTGAAAATCAAGTTTTATTGCGTTGTTTGAATCAAATTTGCATTGAGTTTGTGTTATTTTCTAGTGAGTTAAGTTTAGGAGCTTAGTTAGAAATGAAACTTTTCTAGAGTAGCAAATATACTCATCTAAAGGACTCGGCCGTACCCTACTCTAAATTATAGTGGGAACGGTTAGAGATGTTGTTACTTACAGTAATGCTAAAAATGCAAACGGAATAAATTATATA